ATGTGTGTGTGTATATATGTGTGTATGTGTGTATGTGTGTGTGTATGGTTATTCTGTTTATTCTGGATCTACAACAAGAGCTGCACATCTCTCCCAGTAGATGTGTGCTGCCACACTACAGTATTTAATTAAAAGTTTAAAACATCTTTCTGTGTAAATATCTCTGTTACAACGTGGACACCTGAGACTTCTAGACAAATGTGGCCTATATATGTACAATTTTTATTTTTATTTTAGTGGGCACGACTTATATTCAGGTGCACTCAATCGGGAAATTACGGTACATGCTTATTTTAAAAGTGAAGCCCCACAAAAGAGCCTGGGCTGAAATGTTCCGGAAGTCGCTCCATATGAAGTTACACCAACGTTCAGCTCTTAAGTGAAGACATGAAGCTGCAGTTAGAAGAAGAAGAAACAGCAGATTCCTCAGGAAAAACCCAGGTGATACAGAAGAAATGATCAACTCAGTGTTATCAATCCTTAGTTCAGTGAGGTGTTTGAGAGGAATGTGAAGAAATTAAAACAATAATAAACCATTTAAGTCTTTTTGTGGGTAGACAACTATCCTGCTCCATAAATTAGCTAAGTGTTTCAAAAATAACTGCTTTGTTTTGTGCTGCTTCTGGTCAAAAGTCAGGTTTTGGGTGTAAAATGTTGCTACAGCCATTATATAAAGAAATAAATATCAAAAATCTAATGTTAATGCTTACAGCAGTGACGTACGGTTGATATGGATCATAGAAACAAATCAATTTAGTGAAAAAACAAACAGCAGCAGGACAGTACACCAACAGAATGACGGTTAAAAAAACCTCCAATTTATGAAAACTGAAATGCACCGAGCACAGAAAGCTTTTACAAATACAACAAGTAACACAGAGTCATTCTAATTTCGCAAACAAACGGTTAGTTTTAGCTGAATAAATGGGCAGAGAAGCACACAAACAATGTTTAGCTCTTACTGTATCTCTTTGGTCCATCCTCGAGGCAGAAGGAGAGCGTAAGAGTGGCGTCCTCCTCAAAAAACTCAGTGGCGAACGCGTCCCACCACAAACTGTCGCTTTCCTGTCGAGAACGTGAGAGAATCAGTCATTGACAGGACGTATAAGAGTAGGAAAGTTATAAACAGAGTAAAACAGTGTCCCGTTTGTCTTAAACAGGTACAACATGTTATTAAAAGTGTCTGAGGGTACATTCCTGCACTCCGACAGACCCAGGCTGCATTACGCCTCCTTGCAGAGTGTTTTTCTCCAAGCTAAGCTAATATCCTCTTGGCTCCAGCTCCATACGAGTGATTTTATTATTTTCATTTCTCTGTCAGTCACACGGTGAACATCTGGATGTTTTTGTCAAACCACTGCAGCGAGTTTCAAAAGACGTGCTGCAATACTTTAGAGGATGAAATCAAACGATTCTGCTCCATATTGTAGGACCATCTGACCGTCTGTCATAGCTTTAAGTAAGATATTGTGTGTTTATCTATTAGAACAATGAAACCAAACAGTTAATTTAAATAAAAATGTCCAGTTGATGTTAGACGAGCAAACCTTGCTATGGTGATAGTTAGCATTACACAATAAAACTCAGTTGTGAACTTAGCACTGAATGTTTCTAACTCTTTGTGTGTGTGTGGGGGGGGGGGGGGTATTTGTTCCCTTAAGCATCATAAATAAATAAAAAATATATTTATGCAGGCCTTAAATTGGATAAATTGTCAGTCATATAAATTACGCATTTTACATTCAGATTATTATATTTGATACATTTTAGTTTTGTGTTTAAATAGTAATAAAATAAACGGTTACGTTTCAGTGGTAAAATAACCGACAGTGTGCTGTTAAGAATGACCTTAGAAGGACTGACAATAACGCCCTACAGCCAGGTTTAAAGATGTCTCATGTCGGCTGGAGGCCTTACAACACCCGTTAACGTTCTCTTAAGCCTGGACTTCAGAGGAGACCTGCCTGAGGTTCTGAAGCACCAGCTGATGCCCAGCACTTTCATAATGCTCAGGTCTTACTAATGTAGCAGCAGGTGGGTCGTACGTTAACATGAGCTATTTTTATTCTTTCACAGATATTTCAACTGAGTGAGCTCATCTGTAGTCAAGTCAACTTTATTCAGAAAGAACATTTCAGACAGCAGCTGCTACCGAAGTGCTTAACAATAAAAATCAATGGGAGTATTTTAATGGAAAATATTATATATATATAAATAAATAAAACAAAGTAACTATTACTTACTACTTGTACTACTATTCCTACTTGGAGGTTTTTCACTTATCGCGGATCTTCAGGGTACGGATCCCCCCCGATAAACGAGGGACCACTCTACACAATAAAAACATTTTAAATAAAAACTGTAAAACAAAGGAGTTTAACTGTCACTCAAATGATATTATTTAGGTCTCAAGTTAAGCGTCGGTGTTCTTATTAACAGTAATAGATGCAGAAGAGCGGTGGCAGTAATAAAACTCGTGTAAAACACACAGTAAGTAACTATACTGTTAGAATAATACTGTTACCTGAAACAGATATTTTTATAGCCCGCTGTCGGGGTAAAATAAATAAGAGTAGTAAATGCTTCAGTGGAAGGTGTAAAAGTAATATTCAGTATGTTTTAAAACACTGGCAGCATTAATAAAGAATTTATAGTTGTGACTGTGGTCGAGGATCGATGGTGGGAGATATCTGCAGGACTGTAAGAAAGAAGCAGTTTCACATTGTTACAGCAGCGAGGGCGACTCCTCCAACAGCATCCTCTAGCTCTGCACAAAAAACCCTCAGTAATGTTGGTGGGATCCCCCCGATGCCCTCTTCCCTCCCTCTTCCACCCGCCGACGTTTAGCTGATGCTAATTTACTCTGACATGTTATGACAGATCACCACGTTTCAGTCTGTGCCGGGGCCAAGAAATGGCGAGCACTTCCCAGATGTTGACAATTAGCGTTGTCACCATCGAGCAGTGTCGAGCCCGACGAGCGGTGACCGGGGCACCCCGTGGGTCAGAGAGTCATGCACTCCATGAGTCCCATGCAAAGAGGAAGACGTGCGACGCCGAAGATAACCCTCATCCAGCCCCAGTGATCAATAAGTGATCATGAGTGGAGACCAATCACTGAACTGTGGAGGACTCACTGAACTCCTCGCCAACGTTCTGTAAAAACAGAAGTACTGATTCTACAGCCGAAGTATGCACATAAATTCAAAGTTTTCTACTTTCCAACCAACAGAAGCAGTGAGTTAACATAGTTCTACTTCTTTTTATTGATGGTTTATTCATTTGGTCCAAAACGGTGCGAAACCTCCAAACTTCATTTGCTTTTGTCTAACTAAAATCCATGAACTGCACAAAAAGCAGCAGAAAAGTGCCACATCTGAAAAGCTGAAAGCAACAAATATTTGCCCGTTTTGCTACATTAGTCTACTACAAAAAAAAAAAAAAAAACTGATGATGACTTCATATAATAAAATAAGATTTGAATAAAATGTTTGTAAGAACTGCATAACTTCCTCCTGCAGAAGTAGCAGCAGAGTCGTTAGTTTAAGCAGCCCAGGCCGAGCTGGAGGGATCACCTTTGACAGGAAACTATTGACCTGTAATTATAGCACTCCCTCTGGGTCAATCAGGGTAACTGTTTACCCTAACAGCCTAAAAACACATCACTCACCCCCACTGGAAAACTCCAGAATGACCCGAGAACTGGCTGCGAGCCAGCTTCTTGTTTAGGTGCATCTTCGCTTTACAATTTACTAAAATAATTGAATTGGGAAATATAGGGGTCCAGCACGCAGCACCGACTGGCTGTCCACTGGGAACGAGCTACAGTGTGTGTGTGTGTGTGTGTGAGACTGTGTCACACTGCGAGAATCAGCAGGTGTGAACAGCCAGCGTGTGTGTGGTGTCATGTGAATACATCTGTTTCAGAAAAACAGAAGAAGAGTGACACACTGGGACAAAAGAGACGAGGCCGAGGCTGACGTCGGTGCTGCTCAGCATTCAGACCGAGTTCAACCCATAATCCAGCAGTAGTGGGGGGGGTGGGGGGGCACTCCTGGGATTGACAGTCAAGTGAAGGATGACCAACATGCTCGCTACACTCACACAACAGCCTCCACCCGCCTGCTCTGCACTCACTGGTTCCACGAAAAATAGTTCAGAATAAAAGTGTAAAGTATCAGAATGTCTTGGAGCAAAGCACGGCTCGTTGCATGAAATGAAAAAACAAAGTCATTCTTTTAAACGTCTTTAATTTTCCTGTTTACTGGCTACAAGCTCAAAATTACAGCAAATGTAATTTGAATGCATAAAAATACAAAGATTACTGTAGTCATTAGAAATACTCTATTTTTTTATTTTTTTTTCTAGGAGCTATCTGGATCAGAAAACCCTCCATCATCCATCCATCCATCCATCCATCCATCTTCTTTACCCGCTTCTTCCTTTTCGGGTTGCGGGGTCACTGGTGCCCATGTCCAGCTGTCACTGTGTGAGAGGAGTGGGGGACACCCTGGACAGGTCTCAAGTCCATCACAGGGACACAGAGACAAATGAGACAAACAACCATTCCCTCTCACACCTAGGGACAATTCAGAGTTACCAATCGTTCTAACATGCATGTTTTTGGTCTGTGGGAGGAAACCGGAGTACCCGGAGAAAACCCACGCATGCACGGAGAGAACATGCAAACTCCACCCAGAAAGGTCCCCAGCCGGGATTTGAACTGGCAACCTTCTTGCTGAGAGGCAACAGCTCAGCCACGGTGCTGCCAGAAGACAAACTGGAATCCTGTCATTATTACACTTAAGGAAAATGTTCCCAGTAGCAGTGAAGTGGCACATTAATAACATCCCTTTCAATAAAAATTTAACAGATTGTTAAAACACGACAAGTTGTAGCATAAAAATGACATCACGGTTTTATTTTATGATAAAATGACAATATTAGGTGAAAAATAGCTTAAAACAAAAACTAACTTCTGATACCTAATAAAATCACTTTTCTTCTTCTTTCAGCTGCTCCTTCTTCAGGGATCGCCACAGTGAACCAACTCGCACGAACACTTGGCGATTGTTTTCATTCCAGATGTTCTTCCTGTCTCAAGCACAGACACCGAGCCACCACAGCCCTGTGTGGAGCAGAGAGCTGCCATTTAGGGCGCCCGGGGGAGCAGAGGGTGGGAGTTAAGAGCCTTGCTCAAGGGCCCAGAGTGGGGCAAATGAGGGTGGAGGCAGGTGTGGGTGCTTCATCTATCACACCCACATTTTGATGTTGTCAGTACCGGCTGGGAGTTGAATCAGTAATCTTCCGATCACAGGCCCACCTTTTGTAACCTCTGCACCACCACTCCACACCTGACAAAATCACCTAATTGTGATTATTGTTTATGCACAATATAATTATTGGTACTATAATATTAAATATAAACATTACAGCAGAGCTATTTAACTGGGGGCCAAATCAGAGCCAAGGGTGAGCTCAGTTCGGCCCATCGATGGGTTCATTTTTAAACAAAACTAGATTTTAAAATCGTAAAACAAACTTAATGACAATAGCTGCTGGATTCCCGACCCCCCGTTTGCTTTCGGTAACTGTGCTATCTGTGGTTTGTCCTCACTATGCCTTTTCTTCCCTGATCTTAATATTTTCCCAAACCCAAATCTTTTTACAAAATAATATTATCTGCTCTAACTCGATACAGTTCATTTAGGCAGTTCCCTGAAATTTGACTCGGGCCTGAAACCACCCTAAAAAAAAAAAAAAAGAGCAGAGTCGACAGCGATATCGTCTCGTCTCCATCAGCTCTGCTCGGCCCAGTTCACCCAGAGAGGCTCTGTGGATCCGCTGAAGAGCCTCCCTCTCACACAACACAGGATTCTGAAAAGAGCCGGTATTTTTGATGAAATTTTAAGAACATAAAGGTGTTTCGTTTAGGAACTCATTAATGTAAATCACGTGAGATTTACAAGTTGCTCATGTTTTATTTATTCCTGTAAGGCTCCAAACTAATGAACCCTACTTAAATATTTTTTATCATATCAACAAAAGGTCCTCTTAAGGATCAG